ATGCCACTAAACCAGTGTGCTTGGGGGAAAATTAATATTGTAAATGCCTATATTTTTAAAAAATCTCAATAACCTCACTTTCCATCCTAGCAGATTAGATTAATAAAGACAAAGTAAACCCAAAGCAAGGATAAGAAAAAAAAAGATTAGATGAGAAATAAAATAGAGAATATAAATATGATAGGAAAAATTAATGATCCCAAATTTTGGTCTTTTTAAAATAATCAACAAAATTAACATACCTTGGGTTACACAGACTGATACCAAATCTCCCTCTTTTCTCTTGAAAAAGGAAATACTCAAATTACTAAAATCTTATATGTAAATAAAGAATATTACTGTTAACATAAAAAAAATTGTATGAGAATGGTATGAACATTTGTATGCCAACAAAGATAACTTAGAAGTCATTAGTGTAGTATCAAAAGTGATGAGGTATTGGTTTGGCAATTTAATATTAAATGACTCAGAAAAAAAGTTATCTTTACCAAATTTGCAACTTCTGTAGATATAGAATTGTTTCCAAAAATGAAAGAAAAGAAAAAGAATTATACAGTGATAAGCTACTCTTCATTGCAGAGCTTATTATTGCAAGAAAGAATATTAAAGCTTAAGCAAGAATGGTTTATTTCTAATCAGTGGCAATATGTATTAAAGTGCAGGTCTTTTGACACACATGCACACACATATGAATGTCTGAATGTGTGATTTCAGATGTGGAGCAGTTTCAAAATCATCTAAATTTGTGTTGCTGTTGGCGTGTACAGCTAAAATAAAGTAGAGGTCATTGAAAATGAAGAAGTCAGGGAACTGAAATGCACAAGCATTTGAAGAGTCATGCATGAGTACTTGAGATTGCGTAAGATGATGGCAGGATTTAGGATGAAGAACAAGACTGTAAATTAGGATCCAAATCTTCATCAAAAGGAAATGAATGAATAGACAGTTATGAGATGCGTGTGAGGCAGAAAGTTTTTTTTATTTGTGTATTTGTTTGTTTTAGAGTTGGAACCTCACTCTGTCACCCAGGCTGGAGCGCAGGAGCACACCCACGGCCACCCCAGTGTTAGCCTGCTGTACTCCGGCGATCCTTCTGCCTCAGCTTTCCAAGTAGCTGAAACTACAGGGGCGCGCTACCATGCTGGGCTAATTTTTTTTTTTTTTTTTTAATTGTAGAGACAAGGTTTCACCAAGTTGCCTGGGATGGTCTTGAACACGCGGGCTCCGGCAGTACACTCGCCTTGGCCTCCCAAAGTTCTGGGATTACAGGCTGAGCCAGCAAGCCTGGCTGGGGTGGAAGGTTTTAAGGAATAATCCTCAGAGAGTTTGAGGAAATAATAAAGTGAGAGTAGAGAGGTAATATAGAGGAAGAACACTGACCCTAACTTCAAATGAACTCTTAAGAGATAGTACTTGGCTGGCCTGATTCTACTATGGAAGCACAGTTTTAAGAAAGACTCATGAGATACATGAGATCCCAGACCAGCCAGGGGGAAGAGAGGTATCTTTGACTGTGGCAACTCATGAGATACATTATTCATACCAGTACACTGCTGAGGGAGAAAGGAGGAGCTATTGACAGTTAAATTGGGGGCCTGGTAGAGTAGTTCATACCTGCAATCCCAGCACTTTGAGAGTTCAAGGCAGGAGAACTGCTTGAGTCCAGGAGTTTGAGACAAGCCTGGGCAACAGAGTGAGACCTATTGCCACACCAAAAAAAAATCAAAACATTAGCCAAAGGAATCAAAGGAATTTCTGTGCAGCTAGGTATTAGCTTGATATAGCAATTGCTATCTGTCAGGAAATCAAAGATGAAAATAAATGGTTTTCTGTAATTCTTTCCTGATCTCCTTAAAAGGGAAAATAACAGGGGACAATAGCAGAGTAATTGAGTTGACATCTATTTATTCTTCACGTAGGATATTTGGAGCCCAAGATCTGTAATGTCGCCTGTGGCATGTTGCATAATAAGTTGACATACATTCTAATGTATTTTAACAGTGAACAAAGAACACCCTATTATAAGATAATGTGTGTGCCTACATATGTATACACACACAAAGATATAATTCTGTATTGTATAAAGACATTTCGGTCAGTAATGGATAATATATTATGACAGTGATCCCATAAGATTATAATGGAGCTAAAATATTCCTGTGACCTAGTGATGCCATAGCTGTCTTGATTTCATAGTGCAATGCATTACTCATATGTCTATGTGATGCTGGTGTAAACAGTCCTACTGTGCTTCCTGTCCTATAAAAGTAGAGCATATGGCTGGGCATGGTAGCTCCCAACACTTTGGAAGGCCAAGGTGAGAAGATTGCCTGAGCTCACAAGTTCAGCAGGTCGAGGTTGAGGCTGCAATGGCTGTGAGCATGCCACTGCACTCCAGCCTGGGTGAGGGAGTGAGACTCCAACTCAAAAAAAAAAAAAAAGTAAAGCATATACAATTGTGTAAAGTACATAATACTTGAAAATGATAATAGATGACTATGTTACTTGTTTATGTATTCACCATACTATACCTTTTATTGTTACTTTACAGTGTTCTACTTATTTAATAAAAACAGTTACCTGTAAAATATGCTCTGGTAAGCCCTTCAAGAAATATTTCAGAAGAAGGCATTGTTATCATAGAAAATGACAGCTCTATGCGAATTATTGCTCCTGAAGGCCTTTCAATGAAACAAGATATATAAGTATAAGACAGTAATATTGATGATCCTGACTTTGTGTAGGCCTGGGCTAATGTGTGTGTTTGTGTCTTAGTTTGTAACAAAGTTTAATAAGTAAAAAAAAAAATGCATTTTAAAAATGAAAAAAAACTTATAGAATAAAGGACATAAAAAAGAAAATAGTTTTTCCTAGTGGTGTAATATATTCGTGCTTTAGGCTAATTGTTATTGCAAAAGAATAAAAAAGTTCGAAAAAAATTCAAAAGTTTTTAAAGTAAAAATGTTACAGTAAGCTAAGATTTATTTGTCATTGAGGAAACATTTTTATAAGTTTAGTGTAGTCTAAGTGTACAGCATTTATCAAGTCTACAATAATGTACAGTAATATTCTAGGCCTTCACAATCATTCACTACTCATTGACTCACTAAGTGCAACTTCCAGCCCTATAAACTCCATCCATGGTAAGTGCCCTATATAGATGTATCATTTTTAATATTTTATATCATATTTTACTGTATTTTTTCTATGTTTAGACATATTTCGGTGCACAATCACCATTGTGTTACAATTGCCTAAGTATTCAGTATAGTAACATGCTATATACAGGTGTGTAACCTAGAAATGATATGTTATATACCATATAGCCTAGGTGTACAGCCTAGACTATACCATCTAGATGTGTGTAAGTACACTCTATGATGTTTTCAAAATGATGAAATCGCGTAGCATGTTTCTCATTGTTTAGCAATGTATGACTGTTCATATATACACACAAACACAAAAACACATATATATAAATAACAGCTCAGTTCAGTCATAGTTGAAGTTATTTTTAAAGTTATAAAAGATAGCAACATAATTTCTACTCAGATATTTACCTCTATTGAGAGGTCATGCAGTGAAGAGAAAGATAAACCACCAAAACTGAGGTGAACTGAGGAACACTCTGACAAGTTGGGGAACGTGAGGTAAGCCTCATTTTACCTACTTACTTATTTTACTTACCTGATTTTTAGTTTCAATTGCAAAATGATAGCATTCCTTCAAATGTTTGTTATTTCTAATTTATTTGTGATTTTATTTAAATATAACTATTTAGACATATTTAGTATATATAGTTATATTTAAATATAACTATTTAGCAACATATATGAAGCACATTATTTATTTTATTCCTTACATATATTTATATTTAGAAAATAGATTTATGGATTGAGCTCTTTTAATTTTTAAAAGATTATTTTATTATTGATGAATTACTAATTTTAAGTCTACTCTCCATTGTATATATTGTACACTCAAGAACATCAAAATGGCTCTGTGAAAATACAGTATCTTCCTGTTTTCATTATTCCCCGTTATTACGCATGTTTCTCTCTCTCTCTCTCTCTCTCTCTCTCTCTCTCTCTCTCTCTCCCTGCACCAACCCCCACCCACTAAGTTTTAAAGTCTCAGCATACTAATAAAAGTGGGATATTTTCCTGGCACCTTGATTCCACTAGATAGTGATTTTCATTATGTCTTAATTATTTTTCAGAGGAATGCTCCACTTAGATTACTTTCTAATATCCCAAGTCATGACAAGGTGACAGACTCTTTATTTATCATCTATTTCTTATACTATTAATTTTTATGGAAAGCTGCTGACCATGCCTTTACCCATGTAAACTTCTGTAAAACTGTAATCATTCCAAGATAAGCATGTTTTGTTACTGCACACTTTCTTATTGAGAGGAAAAGGAAATGGTTTGGTATTCAAGTTTTTCCACAGATTAAAAAAAATGCACAAGAACTTTGGAGGAAACCCAGCTAACTTTTACTTTGATGCCTCAAGAAGGTTACAAATCAATAGTTAGCGTTAACATTTTAATTGAGAATTAGCATCGCCATGATTGGAAGTGAGGCTCAGCATCCTGATGTTTAGGAGAGGGCTATTTGGTTGGGGAGGTGATTATACTGAAGAGCACAGACACTGAAAGGAGAAAACACAAATCATTTGTTTCCTTGGGCAAGGACACACAGTAAACACTTAAAGTGACGGTCAGCTATAATTTGCTCTAGAGCCAGCAACCCCTGGCAATAACGCACTTTGGATTTATAGCAAAGCACACAAGTAGCAGTGACTTTGAAAGCAATGGATAAAAGAACCAAGAAAAAGTTACTTGTTCTTAAAGATCTGTTCCTCATTAGAAGGACTTAAGGACTTTCCCCGCCAGTCTGAAAGCAGTATGCACTTTCATTGCTCCCCCCAGCACGCCCCACAGCTGTTCTTCCTAAGCAATTACTCCCGGATGAAGCCAGTGATGTTTGAGTCAGGGTTATCAACAATGCTTTATTTTTATTTTTCCTGGGAATTTGAAACAAATATACTCCCAGCCTGAACAATGTAGACAGCATATTTCCTTTCCATTTTGGTAGAAATGTATAAAAATAAATTGTATTGTTTTCCATGTGTTTCCAACGTCATGAAAAAGGCAATAAGTTCTCCAGATTCTCCAGAATAAACATGAGAAAATACCTCTTCCCAGCACGACCCTCCCTCCCAGTACCACCATCCTAAGGTGCTTTCACTTCTTCCACCTTCAGGGAAGGAGTGTGTTGTTCAGATTTAGCTCCTCTGCGCAATAGAGGAAATTTAGAGGAATGTGGGAGAGGGAGGATTCTGCAGGAATCCAGGCCTGCACATAAATTCCTCTTGGTTCCCCTTTCATCTAAAGTGAAAAACTCTGTTTGTAAAGAGTGCCTGTGCCCGCTGTTTCTCTATATATCGCCAGACCCAAGGGAGGACCCCGCCAGCAAGGCACCCTCTGCTCTGCCCCGAAGACCACCGTCCTCGGCCTTCACCCCGTTGTCTGTGCAATGTGTAGAATTGGAGCGCAAAGCAGCGGCTTCAGCATCATTCTGGGTGCCCGGCGGGGCCAGAGGACCCTTCGTTGGCCTGGAGGAAGGGCCCTTGTGAAAGCAGAGTTTGAAAAGCCCCAACACTGTCATGGTCAAGATCACCAACACTACTACTGCGATGCTCACAAGTATGAAAACCACAGTGGAGGAAGAGTCGAAAGCCTGGGGAGTGGCAGAGGAAGCTGTGGCATCAAACTTGGGACTCGCGCTTCCTGATGGCGTTATGGTGGTCTTCGACTTGGCTTGAGGGGACATTTGAAGGGTAGATATCGTGCTCTGTGCTCCCCACTGAGGAATCTCAGGAATAGGTGTTACTGAATCGCCTTGTTCAGGGACATGGGGTATCTCTCCTGGTTTCTCGTGGTCCCTGGGTGACTGCGTTCTCTTCTGCACCGGGCTGGCTGCAGTGGTCGGCGGGCTCCTGGTGGGCACCGTAACGGCTGGCTGCCTTTCTCCACTGGTCACACAAGAGCGCCCGTCCTTCCCCAACTCGAAGCCAAGAGCACATTCGCAGGCAAAGCCTCCCAAGTCGTCTAGGCAGTCAGGGAGTTCTGCGCATCTGCCAGCGCGGAGGTACCTCCCGGGGCAGGGACAGAGCACGGCGCCTGAAGGGAGCTCGCCCCAGCGCGCGCCGATCTCGTCCGCGATGCAGGTAGCGGAGACCGGCAGCTGTCCCCGGCAGAGCGCACTCACCTTGGTCCCGGGGGGACTGAAGTCCAGAGCGGCGCTGTGCAGCTGGAAGGGCGCGCGGTAGCTCAAGTCAGAAGCGGCCCCAGGGCGCGGCGCGGAGCACAAGACCTCATACTGGTACTTGCACAGGTAGCCATTGGCGCGCAGGTGGCACCGCATCTCCTTCCAGCCTACGGGCTCTACGCCCCCGGTGGCCTGGAGTCCCGCGCATCTCCGCGCGGTGCAGGAGCGTTGGGGCTCCTCCACCCACGGCAGGGTGTGGCTTTCAGCCCCGGCGGCGTCGGAAGACAGCCAGGAGAAGCCCCGCAGCGGCTCGTTCTCCAGGGTGCAGTGAGAACGCCCGCGCTCCAGCGCCACCCAGAACAGAAGGTCTTTGGAGCCGGGCCCCCGGCCTGCCCGCAGGAGCGCCAGGACCGCGCGCAGCTCCGCGGCCCCCTGCACGGTGCTGAGCGCCCCGCCGCGCAGGACGCAGGCCTCCTCGGCCGCCAGCCGCTTGATGGTAGCGTGGTGCAGGCTGTAGCAGGCCCCAGAGGCCGAGCAGCCGGCGCGGTCGGCGGTGGGGTGCTCGCCCCCGCCCGGCCCGGGCCAGAGCGCCGGCCAAAGGAGGCACAGGGCGAGCGCCGGCCTCATCGCGGAGGCCCGGCGCCCTAAGCTGCGCCCAACTTGGTTCTGTCCCGCCCGAGGGCGCGGGGCTGTCTCGGGAGCGCGGTCGCCGCCCTCTCCGGATGGCTGCCCCCACCCTGTCCCCCATCCCCTCCCCTCCGCCCTCTCTCCTGCCAGATCCCTCAACTGCCAAGGATCTCCACCAGAGGCCTGGCGGCCAACAGCTTCCCTTGGGCCGCGACAGGAAATGTATCCGGAACTCTGCCAGGCCCAGTGCAGCCCTGCTTTATTCTGGGGTCAGGAACGCAGCTGGCGCCGGGGCACAGGAGACGCAGTCGACTAGAGGGTCAAACACCCTACTTAGAGCAAGAGAGGAAAGTCGCCCCCGAGATGCGGTGTATCGTTTTCCCAGCTCAGGGAGATTCTTCAGGACCTCAGGACGCGGAACACTTGGTGAACATGGGCAGGAAGGACTGGAGAAAAGGAACTTGCTTATGATTATTTCAAGCCCACGCCCGCCTATTGTGCTTCCCAATTTCCCGCTCTCCGGAGCGGTGGAGTTGGCGTCAGAATAATTTGTAGACGGCTCCAGTCTTCGGAAGGCCTGCCCTGCGTGGGGGGGTTGGGGTGGGGTGGGGAGGGGAATCATGTGAGAAATCTGAGCATCACCCTTCGCCACCAGAGGCAGCTCTGTCTGTCTCTTTCTGAGGCTTTGATTCTGTCAAGAGATTCAGGCCTGCTAATTGCTAGGCAAATAATTTAGAGTCCTTTCGGGTATTTTAAATGGGAACATTCTGATTCTTCAGTCAGCATTTGCCTGAAAAATTTATTTTTCACTTCATTTGTTTGTCTTTGAAATGTGCCATATTGGTTCTTTCAGGAAAAAAATACAATTCTAGGACTAAATGAAAAATAATGGCCATAGATTTTAATTTTTAGGTTGTTAGGTTTCCTTACCACTATACTGGTTCATAAATTCTTCAGGCCTATAGCTTATATGTAAATATATATATTATTATATATACATTAATATTTGAGAACTGTCCTATATGTGATTTTATCTTTGAACTATTTTAATATCTTTTCTCTATGATTGAGTGCTAATATCTATAAGAGTAAGTTGTAAAAGTCCCCTTTAAGAAAGATTACAGTTCAACATCCTTAAGAAATTGAGATATTTATTCCATTATAATGCATTTTTAGCCAGGCGTGGTAGCGCATGCCTGTAATTCCGGCTACTTGGAAGGCTGAGTCGGAAGGATCCCCGGAGCCCAGCAGGTCGGGGCTGCGGTGGCCAGGAGCGGCCACTGCATTCCAGTCTGGACGACAGAGTGATACTCCAACTCAAAAATAAAAAATTTAAAAAAAAATAATAATAATGCGTTTTGTATACTGTTAAAAAAAAATACCCTGTAATTTGAAAGATGGATGAATCAGTGCCTTCGGAGCTCCAACGACTGTTTTGTTTACATATAAACAGTTCAACTCAATTGAAGTGGGAAGGAATTAGAGATGAGGAGAGGACAGAGAGTCTAAAAACTACACTATACCGGCTACTCGGAAGGCTGAGGTGGAAGGATAACCGGAGTCCAGCACAGGTCGAGGCTGCGGTGGCCGGGAGTGGCCACTGCACTCCAGTCTGGGCGACAGAGTGAGACTCCAACTCAAAAAAAAAAAACAACTACACTATGAAAGGATTTCTTGTTAGCAACTTAGACAATTCTACATCATTTTAGGAAATATATCATCTATCTATCTTGGGTCACAGTGCCCATGTATGTTGTAATCCAAAATACATAAAGAGTTTCAATTTAGCCCTCTTGAAGATATATGATGCTTTTAAATATCTATAATGAGAATGAAGTTGCCATCCCATGAATAAGCATACCGTATTTTTAAACTCACTTGTCCTGAACTGGACTGTTCAGGCTAATGAAGGGTGGAAAAGAAGGTTTGGGAATCACATCTGCTTTTATCTCAGTTTTAGTGTTACTCTCACTCTTTTCCTCCTGAAAATTCCATGTATCTTAACAAACAATAGTAAACATCATGAATCATCATCACTCTTATCTTGCTTTTGTCAACTGTGGAGTTTTACATCAGGATTTCTCTCTTGAATTCCTTAGTCCATCTTTTCAAATGTCTGAGAATCACCTTAAACATGACTTTGCATTTAAATCGGGTAGCTTAAATATCTTATGAGAAAGGAACATGAAAATCCAGAAATTGAATGGAAAGGGTTTCAATAATACTTAGTCATTTGGACCAGCTCTATAAGCCTTTGCAATCTTATGACTGTGTGTTTATAAATGTGTTCATGTGACACAATATATTTTAATAAAAACTTTTTCTGACTTAAGTAATCAATCTATATAATCTCTTAGATATCTTTAAAACCATTTGGGATGAGATGAGGTGTCGGCAGTAAGAAAGAATGAATGACTGAAAAGCTAGTAGTGAATACCTGATCTTACTCTCTGGCATTCTACCTAGGGAGGTAGAATTATAGCAAAGAAGAGCATGCTGGCCATAATGATTATCTGTCATGGTCTTGACCATGCCTGGGGTGATGTGAAAGAAGAATTAGAAAAAAATAACTCAAAGGAAGATATATATAATTTTGTAATTAATTACTTTGCTTGATCTACACACCACTAACATATTTTGAAATCTACAGTATATCTGAAAAAATTTGAAAGTAGAATAATTTTGGTTTATGTTTAAGTAACATGTTTATTAAGATCATAATAGGGTACCATTTACCACTGCTGAATTTCAAATACTTAAACATTTTACAGTACCAAGTGTGGGCCCATTGGTTCTTTTACATGTTACAGATGAGAACAACTACTTTGGAAAAACTTGACATTTTTTCCTAAAATTAAATATTTGCGTAATCTACAGTCTAGCATTTTTATGATGAGGTATGAAATTAAGCGAAATGTCTGCACATGTACAACAGATGATATGTAAAGAATACTTGCAGCAGCACTATTCATATTAACAAAAACCTAAATCAATCCAAATTCCTAGAAACAGTAGATAAAAGTATAGTATTGGAGGGTGGAGTGGGGGGAGAAGTGGAGTGTAGCATCACAAAGAGTACTTGGTCCTAAACCAGGGTAAGTGAGGGCCACTTGGAGGTTCAAACTTCACCCGCATGCAGCCTGCTTGTGTAGCTAATCCTAACTTGTACCCCACATATCTATAATAAAATAAACAATTTTAAAAACTATAGTATATTCGCTCAATGAATATTATGTAGCAGTAAAATGAATAAAGTATAGATGCATGTACCAATATGAATTAATCTTACCAATACAATGTTAAGGGACAGAAGTTCCAAAAGATTATATGAAGCCTAACTTTATTTTTAAAATAAAATAAAATAAAATAAAATAAACAACTACCAGAAATATATTGGTGTACTTTAAAAACAAAATAGTTACAGTAAAAGGCACAATAAGCATAAAATTCCTAGTGACTCTTTTGGTGAGAGGAAAGAGGTGAACGAATCAGTGGGGGAACCAGAAGCTTGATACAGGCTGCTGATAGAGTCCTAACTTTTGTTTGAATAATGACTTTGTGGCTGATTATTCCACTTTTAGAAATAAAAATTACCAATGAACAAAATAAATAAAAGAGACCAGATCTGGACAAATGATAAAACTAAGAATTGTAATTAATCTAATTGAGTAGCATCCAACTTTCAAAAGGTAAAATAAAAATAAAATTTTAGATACATTTTCAAAAATATTTTAAATATATTTTTCTTTAATCCCATGTTCTTTTGCAAATGAAGCATTTTAAAATTAAAGTCAATTGTTCATCTGAAAAATCACAATAAACATACTATTTCCCTATGTTTCAAGACTTTTCAATCTATGTATTATTGGTAAGAATAGTGTATGATATTTATTTGTTCATTCATTTATACAAGGCCATTCAAGGAATTAGAGAGAACATATAAGGAAGGTAAATTTACTCCAATATTTGCAATTTAATTATTAATTTAAAATAACAGAAACAAAGATGGAGGAAGATAAATTCTTACTAATCACGTCCCAAGTAATCTCATAAATTTATAAAGCTGTTGATTCTCACTAATTAATTTTATCATTGTTGAGAGAAAACAGCATCTGAGTCTTAGCATTTTACTGCAATTGCTTAAGATATATAAAAGTACTTTAGAGGAAACAAAAAAGGAAACAATATTCCATTAGTGGAGCATGACATTTAGGAGCTAATCTATAGAGACTGAGAATTGTGAAGATCTATATCCTCTTAGAACTGGACTGAACCTTACTAACATGATCTTTTACAAATATATTTTTAACTGAGAACATTTTAAATTTTTTGTCTCAGGATGTGTGGTTTGACTCTTAACCCAATAGAACACAGCTCATTGTGTAGCAAATTCATACATATGCAAATAGATAGAATGTTTTAAGATGGTGTTATAATTAAGACATCTATATACATGTATATACAATCAGTCATTTCACAAATGTATATCTCAATGATAAGTACTCATCTGGCTTAGTAAACAACATGATTAAGTTATAATAAGATATAAGAACCTCTAGAAAACATTAAACTTTCAGCTCTTTCATTCAAGCTGTTCTCTCAACAGATGCAGTGCTGTCCAAATTCTATGTATCTTGGAGGTAATATAAAAAACTATTCTCTGGTGGTCATTACACAATTAGTGCATTCTCTCATTGACAAGTTTGTAATCAAGAAATAATGGTGAAATGACTTATGCATGCAAAAAACTTGTTATAATCCAAATGCCTAGCAAGTTCTAAAGCATAAACAATATTTATCCTATTACTCAATTTTTTCCCCAGAATTTCCTCCAGAGCCAGTTCATGAGGCACACTGAAAAATCATTCTCATTACTTTACCAACAAAGCCACCACCACCAACCACTGGGGAGAGGAGAACCTATTCAGTAAATGGTGCTAGGAAACTGACTGATAACATGCAGAATATTGAAACAGGACCCCCACCTATCACAATACACAATAAACTCTAAATGGATCAAAGACCTAAACATAAAACCTCAAACCATAAGAATCCTAGAAGAAAATGTAGGAAACATAGGTACATCCGAGTAGGCAACCAATTCTTAATCAATTCAAAATCAATCAATTCTTGATCAACTCTCCAAAAGTTAATGCCATAAAAGATAAGATAGACAAGTGGGACCTCATCAAAGTGAAAGGCTTCTGTAAAGCAAAAGAAACGATCAAGAGAGCAGAGAGACAGCCCATAGAATGGGAAAAAAATATTTGCTAACCATAAATCTAACATCCAATGGCTTAACATCCAGGATATACAAGGAACTCAAACGTGCCAGAAGA